GGAACAATTTTGGACCGTCCCAGGGCTCCCTGAAGCCAAGTTCCCCGAAGCCCGCTGTCGCGTTTTTTCCCTTCCTCTTCAGCGAGAGGAGACTCCTCTCGTCGTGAGCAAAAACGCGACGGAGGGCTTGGTACAAAGGAGGCCCTGACCTCATCCAAGGGAGGCGGTCAGGTTCTCGTCTCGGCGGCGAAATCCGAACCCTACACTGGCCGATGATCTTTTCATTCAACTCGATGGGGGACGGGGGGATGGTTCGGAATTTGTCGCCACCTCTCGTCGTCGTCCTCCTCCATGTTCCTCCGCGGCCCCAGCGTGCCAAAAAACCTCGGTCCCAGGAACAGTTGGCCGCCTGGGGGCCAGGCATACGAGCCAGTGGCCAGTGGCCAGCACTTGGCCCGCTCGCTCATCGCCGTCTGGCACCAGCCTGCTCGTCTGCAGAGAGAGAGAGAGAGAGAGAGAACAAGAACAAAAACAAAAACAGACGCATCTTGGCGCCGGCTGGGGGTCTGAGGTGGCCCAGCACTGGTTCAAACCAGCTAGTAGGGGGGGAAGAGGTTCGGGGCTTTGGGTTCGGGAGGGTTTTTTACCGTTTCCGGTGTCCGGGGGCGGTTTTCGGGCCCGGGACCGTGACACATTGATCAGGGGGGAATTTGCACCAGATGGACAGCCTGGGAGTGTCCGGAGACCGATTTTGAGCGGATTTGCCTTCACCCCCGTCCTGACCGATTTTCTGGGGTCCCAGTCAGTGCCGGCCGCCTGGCCTCCTCCAAGACGCACCGTCTCCAAGACGCGCTGTCTTCCTCCACTTCTTGTTTCGAGGAAGACGAGAATATGACGCAGCGCCCCGCGCGCCCGCACAGCGTGACCGCACCCGGGCCGGAGCTCCGATCGGACGACGCGCACGCAGGGATAGAGTCAGACCGTTCGGACACCCCTCACTCTGAGGTACCGCTGCCGCTGCCCTTCCTTCGTCGTCACGGTCTGATTCGCCCTCGAGGTCTTCGGTCGGAAGGCAGCCCCAAGGAGCTCCAGGTATTTCCCCGTTTGTGAGCTTCCCCGCGTCCCCTCCTGCACGGCTCGCGTGTGCCTGCATGCCAGCCGCGCGGCCTGCTGTCTCATGGAGCAAAGGATAGTGGAAGTTGTCCTTGCCGTGTATACAGAAGCAACTCCTGCTCTGGCTGGTCTCTTCGTTCGTCTTCCTCCCTCGTCCTATTTTTCGCTTTGGCGCGCGCGTTTCCACCGAGCAGCCCCACCAGGCAGCCGTTAGGGCTCGTGCATTAGGTCGGGCAAGATAGCCCTGCGCGCAGGAGCTGCATCCGAAGTCCTGGAGTCTGCCCGAAGCTAGACGTAGACTGCGTCCCTTCCCCTCCTCTCCCCTTGTCCCCCCTTCCCGTAGACAGGGGGGAAATGACGGGATGGGAGAAGGAGGAGGAGGAGGAGGAGGAGGAGGAGGACGTTGCCCATCTATGTTGCCCTCTCGACGTGTACTGCGAGTTGGGTTGATATTGGCCATCGCTGCTCATCTTTTCCTGTCCCGGCCTTGTCGTCCCTCTTACCACTGACGTTGTCTGCGTGGGCACCTCTCACGTTGGTCTTCAGGGCTGTGGGAAGATAAAGGAGGAGAAGGTGCCCGAGGTTTCAGAGGTTGCCTAAAGCTTTACCTGGGGTGCCCTTTCTGGCGCCCCTCGTGCACCCTTCGGCAGACAGTCGATTCGTGCGTTGTGGTGTTGCACAGGGAGCGTACACGTTACATTTACTTTGCACTGGGGGTTGTCCACTTGCGAACCCATGCTTCACATCCCCCCTCCCCCAAACGTATGCGTATGTACCCATGCTTCCCTACCCCTGCTGTCCTGCCGATGTTAACAGTAGCAATTCTAACGCTGACATGGGTACGAGCGTCGCGAGTGCTAATTCGCATCAGCAACTGAATCGTCTCCGCGCTCGTGGTAGGCGCTCGTGGTAGTGCTAGTTCGTTCGCGCCTTCCTGTCAACACGTGCCAGTACTGGTAATGTTATGATACGTCGTCGAATCGTCACAGCCACTGCGTTTACTTTTATTGGGAAGGCCTTACAGCCAATACCGCCGACCCTGAAGGGTGAGGACGACCACGACGGCGGCGCCGGCGGCGACGACGACGCAGACGTGGGGCAAAGTCCTCAGTGATGCTTCGTGGGGCCTCTTCGGTGCGCGCTCGTAGGCCTCTGGGGGGCAGTGTATTGGGGCCTCTTGGGAGCATCTTGGGGACCTCTCGGGAATCTCTTGGGTGTCCCTTCGGGCTTCCTGGGGGCCTCTTGGGGGCCTCTGGGGTCTTCGTGGGGGCCTCCTGGGGGCCACTTCGGGCATCCTGGGAGCTTCTCGGGGCAGAGGGCTCGACATGTTCGTTCGGGCTCCCGTGTGGGCACCCTTCTGGAGCCGTTTTTGAGGCCCCTTGGGCCGTCTGGGAGGCCTTCAGAGCCGTCTTGGGGCTCTCTTGGTTCGATTTTGGGCCGTTTTGGAAACCTCGTCGGGGGCCACTTTTGCCGATCTTGGTGGCATCGTGGACCGTCTTGGGGCGTCAGGGAGCCGAAAAAGCGAGAACGCCAGAGTCTTGCAAAAGCTCAGAAGTCGAATCGTCACAGCCAATGTATTTACCTTTATTCGGTCGTTGACCAAAATGCTCGACAGATCGAGTACACCCACAGAGTGCTTTCTTGATCCCATCTGTGCCCCCATCTTTGTCAATCCAAGCCATGCCAAAACCAGTGCTCGAACGCGTGAGGATGCCTTGCATGAGCGTGCGTGCGTGCGTCGAAGCCCTGGCCCAAGCCAGTTAAGATCAGATTCTACCGTAGATTTCGCATCTACGTACGCTCTACCGATTCGGTCCGAGTCTCTTTCGGACATCCGCGCATTCGAGCCATGGCCGACCAGCCCGAAGCGCAGAAGCTGCTCACGCACAAGCAGGCCGACTACGGAGGCGCCGAGGGGGCAGACGCTGCACACGGCGGTCAAGACGAGCCGCAGGAGAAGTCGGGCTTCTTCCCGTTCGAGCCTTTTGCCTGGCTGGGCCCAGTGCAGTCAATCATTCCAGGAGTCGAAGAGGGAGCAACGGCATGAGCATGAATTTTCAGAGCTCCGCGCAGATTACTCGGATCGGTGTTGACGAGAAATCTGCGCGAAGAGTTGACAATTTATGTTTTGCAGCCGTTTGTTCCCCTGAGGAACCTGGCGGAAGATCGTGAGCGTTCCTCACCTTGTGCTCCTCGTCGGGATCATCATGTGCACCGGGATGCTCTGCAACACCGTGTTCAGTTGGAACCGATTTGGTTGCCGCACCTGGAGCTGCCAGGGCCGTATCATGCCGCTGATCTTCGTGACTTTCTGCCTGCTGTACTTTCACTCCACCATCCTCGAATAAGAAAATGACGGCACAAATATACATTTTTGAAGCTCCGCGCGGATTTCTTGGATTTGTGCTGGGCCCCCCTGGCGGCACCTTCGGCGCTGCCCCTGGCGCGCTCCGCGCGCAGGGGTGGGGGGCCCAGCGCCGATCAAAGAAATCAGCGCGGAGCTCCGAAAGTTTATGCTTCAGCAGTTTTTTCTTATTCTTACTATCCAGCAGTATGATGAAGCCTTGCAAATCAAGCAGAAAGAGTTGCAGAAGGCCAAGCAGGAGTGTGAGAACCAGTACAAGGAAACGGTCATGGAGATGGAGGGGTTTCTCAACCGCGCGATGGACAACCAGGTGGTCCTCGCCGAGAGGAACTTCGAGTCGCAGCGCAGGGACTTCTCGCGCTTCCTGATGCGGTACGCGAGGGACGCCTCCCAGGAAGCCGGCCCGCTCTCATCCTCCCTGGCCGTCTGCCGTCCCCGTCCTCCCCTGGGCGGCCCGCCGAGGGGGAGGCGAGAGGGGGGGCAGGCCTCCTCAGAAGGCAGCGGGGCTTCTCTCAGAGGCCCTCGAGCCTTCCGAGAGGCCGCCGTGTCTTCGGAGGAGACCTCTGAGCATTCCGAGGCGGACCGCCCTTGTGCGCGCGGCCGGTCCTTCTCCTCCTCCTCCTCCGCCTCCTCCTCGTCCTCCTCGTCCTCCTCGTCCGCCTCCTCCTCCTCCGCCTCCTACTGGCCACTGCACGCAGTACGGCACCGCGCACGGTAGGTCGCACGTCTCCGAAGTTTATTGGAGTGTTTTCAGGCTCGCTTAGCTCGACCTTCGGCCCGTTACCGTCTGGCCGCCACCGCCGCCTCCTCCTCCTCGTGATGATGTTTATCAGTGCTTGTTTTTTTTCCTTTTGGCTCTTCCCGACTTTGTGTGGCAGGAGTTTTCTGTTGCCTTTCGATCGCTAGCTGTCTATACGACGCTCCGACGGTCTCCAAGGCCCGCCTCTAGCGGGCACTCAAGGCCCGCGTCGAGCGGGCACTCCTTGGCCTGCAGCCCGATTGCGAGTGCTGCGCGCCCCCCCTTTCTGGGACCGCTTCACGGACACTTAAATCCTAAGTCCTCTTGATGCTGCTGCAATCGCGCCACACGATGTAGTTCTCCTCCCCCTCCTCCTCCTCCTCCTCCTCCTCCTCCTCCTCCCGCTCCTCCTCCTGCTCCTCCCTCCTCCTCCTTCGACCTCCCTCCTCTCCTCCTCCTCCTCCTCCTCCTCCTCCTCCTCCTCCTCCTCCTCCTCCTCCTCCTCCTCCTCCTCCTCCTCCTCCTCCTCCTCCTCCTCCTCCTCCCCCTCCCCTTCCCTCCCCCCTTCCTCCCTCCTCCTCCTCCTCCTCCTCCTCCTCCTCCTCCTCCTCCTCCTCCTCCTCCTCCTCCTCCTCCTCCTCCCCTTCCTCCCCTTCCTCCCCCTTCCTCCCCGTGTGAGGCTGCAGACAGCGCGCTCCTGCCCTTCCGGGGCCTGGTGCTTCAGTGGCTGCTCGTCTTCGGGGAGTGCTCCGTCGACCCGCTGCACAAGCCTCTGAAGGTGCTCGAGGCCGAGGAGCTCGAGCAGTGCCACACCGTGGGGGATGTGGCCGCGTACACGGACGAGGGGTGGGAGAGGCAGAAGCTCGAGAGAGAAAGGGACACCGATGCCGCTGCTCGCCCTGGAGATCCCTCGTCGCCACGGCCAGATTCTCCTCGAACGTGTGGTCAGAACGCACCTTGAGATGGGTCCCAGGAGCAGTGCAGTACTCGAAGAAGACAACGGCACAGCCCAAAGAGATGTTTATGGGAAGATGCGCAAGATGTGTGATCCCATCTCTATTGCGCAAGACATAGTGTATATGTAAACCTTTGCTGCGGAGTACAGGTGGGACACGTACATGCGCAACTGTTGCCGTGGAATATCGGTTGTGCAAACTATGTTGTGCAATATATTTGATACGATCTGTGTGGTGCATTCTAGGTTGTACCCTCTTTAAACAGTGTATGCGTATGTATGTGTATGTATGTATGTATGTATACATATAGTTATTCATGCACACACATACTTGCATGTGTGCATGTGTGTATGTATGCGTGTATGCATGTATATACGTATGATATGGTATGGTATGGTATGGTATGATATGTTATGGTGTGGTATGGTATGTATGCATGCGTACGTGCATGCATGTATGTATGTATGTATGTATGTATGGATTGATGGATGTATGCATGTAAATATGCATGTATGTACGCATGCATGCATGTATGTATGTATGTATGTTTGTGTATGAACTAATATACTGACACATCTATGTATAGTGTACACTACATGTGGAGCAATCTTCGTGTTTCGATCTATGGTGTGCAATCAAAGTGGTGTAAGTTTGATTGTGCAATGTACGTGGCGCAACATATGTGGTGCACAAGACAACTGCTCATTCGTAAGTTGTCAACTTCACTGCTCGTGCAATCATCCCACCCACTCGCCTGCAACTTAGTTTGCAAAACCCATGCAACGGCAATTTCGATGACTCCTTGGCTCTGGCTGGTGCGTCGCTGCAGCCGCGCCAGCGCGCGTAGATCGGCCAGCTAGTCTGGCGCGACCGACGCGTCCGCGGTGGCGCTGACCGCTTGGGACCTTTCAGCACGTCTCGCAGGCCGCGGTGACGCGCTGGCAAGTCAGTGCGAATCGGTGACTCGGGCGGCGCGGTATCATGGTGGCATCGGCATTGGCAGACACGACGATGGCAATAGCGGTGCTGGTGACGATGATGGCGATGAGGACGGCGAGGCTCCTGACGGCGCCGATGCTGATCACGTCGATGAGAATGAAGGTGTCCACGTGTCGGTTATGAGCGTTTTGGAAGGATTTCGACATGAGCGCGTGGCCGACGGGCACGAGTGGCCCGCGCGGTGTTATCTGACATGGTCCGTACTCCCCCAGCAAGCGCGCAACGGCGTTCGAATGACTTCGACATGCGCGCGTGAGAGGCCTGCTTAGTCGCGTTTGATGAAGATGTTGAAACAACCGATGGTTGTCCTCCAAGATTTTGCAAGAACGCGCGCGCGTTTTTTGTTTTAGAACTCGTAGTGTAAGATCAATGGGTGTATGTTTTTTCCCGGGATATTCGATCTTGATATATTCACGAAACCTGCATTTCTGAGAATTCTGGCATGCTCGCGACGACACGCGCGAAACGGAGTATCTTTGACAAGCGAGTGTGCGCGCAACGACTTATTTGACGATGATGAGGGGTGTGTCGATACCGGCTTGCTGGGGTGCTATGATTTCATGTGTGAAATAGTGCGGGAGTCCGGCCGGACAATCTCGGGGTGGGGGTGGAGGTAGAACCGATTTGTTTTCGACAGGGGAGATTATGTGGTGCAATCTGTGGTGCGCAACCTATGCTGTGCATTATGTGTTGGGTTGCATTTGCGGTGCAATCTGTGTTGTGCAATCTATGTATTACAGTCTATGTGGTGCAATTGGTTTTAACCAACGAGTTGACACATTCCATGTTCTTGTAAGCGTCCCACCCACCCACCCGCAACTTTGTTTGCGAAACCCATGCGGCGGCGATTGCGAGGAGTGCTTGGCGTTGGCTGGTGCATCTCTGCGGCCGCGCTAGTCCGCGCATGCTCGCGCGCACAGCGGCCAGCTAGTTTGGCGCGACCGAAGCGGCCGCGGTGGCGCTGACCGCTGGGCATTTTTTCAGCGGGTATTCCAATGCGAATCGATGACTTGGGCGGGCGCGGGTTCATGGCGACGGTGGCAACGGTAGACACGATTATGAAAACAACGATGATGGTGACGATGGTGGCGCTGACGACGGCAAGGCCAATGACGGCGCCGATGTTGATCTCGCCCGCAGATTACGATGACGATATCCTCACGTCGACGATGAATGTTCTAAAAGGAGTTGGACAAACGCGCGCGGCCTACGCGCACGAGTGGTCCTCGTGGTATGATTTGACGCGGATCGTGCCCCCCCCCCCCCCCCCAGCACGCGCGCAAGGCTGTTCGAATGATTTCGGCATGCGGCGCGACAGGCCCGATTGGCAGAATTCCATGGAAATGGTGAAGCACCCATGGTTTTCCAAGGATTCGCAAAAACGCGAACGCATTTTTTTGGGAACGTTGGTAATTCGAAACCTCATGTCTTTAGATGGTTTCGAGACACTCTGTGTTGACATCCTTACGACACCCTTGGTTTGTCAGGGATTCCGGCATGCGCACGCGACGACGCTGGCGTGTGCACGTCGGCCCATGTTTTTGGCAACGCATTCTCGCGACAGCACACGTGCAAAGGGCATCCGAACGATTTCGACATGCGCGCGCACGAAACCCGCTTGGTTGCAGTTTATGTCACATTTGACAAACCAGTGGTTTTCTCGAGACTTAGCAAAAACGCGCAAACTTTTTTTGAAAACCTCTATTGCGACACCATATGTTTTTTTTCTCATACTTGTTTGACGCTCAATTTTGAATTCTCTACGACGCCGACGGCGTTTCAGCGGTTTTGGCATATGCTCGCGACGACGCGCGCGTGTGCAGTACTTCGCCTCTTTTTATACTTATAAGAAACTACGGGTTCTTGAACATGGATGATTATTGAAAAGCGAAAGTGCGCGCATTGTATTATTTGAAAGGGATGACGGGGGAGGTCGATCGTTGCTTGGCTGGGATGGTATGGACTTATATGTCGGATGGACGATGAGCCAGAATCGTATGTCAATTGCAGTACGAAGAAGTGAACCGTTAACCGGGGGGGTAGATCCTAATTTTTTTTTGGGCAGGGGAACCTATGTTGTGCAGTTCTTATTGCGGCGGCGGGGCGGCGACGGCGACCACGGAACCGCCACATTGGCAACCATGCCCAGACGATGGGCGGCGACGAGGCGGCGACGGGGCAGCGACTGCGACCACCGAGCCGCCAGATCAGCAGCCAAACCCAGTTCCCGTATAGCAAGAAGTAAGATACCCTTGGCGCAAACTGACTGGGGAATGTGAGCTT